GCCACGGGGCACTTGGACCTCAGGAATACTTACAACATTTAGGGATGCTGTCTGACCTGTATTCATTATAGTAGTTTCAAACATGGTTTCTGTTTTATAGCACCATATAGGGCAGAATTCCAGGTAAGTTCCAGGGGCTGAAAAGGGGTGCCACTTAACTTTGGGGACTGTAAAGAAACTACTACCTGCAGGTAGAAGACAGTACAAGCAACTACTGAATTGACCCAACTCAAAATGTGAAGTGCAGAGGCCAAGTGTCCCTGTTCATATACAGCACTAAAAGTACTGAGGTTACAATCACCCACCTCAAACAAAGTATCCTTTTTTTTTTTTTCCCCTTGTTCTTGAGACAGGGTCTCACTCTGTTGCCCAGGCTGGAGTGGAATGGCATGATCTTGGCTCACTGCAACCTCCGCCTCCTGGGCTCAAGTGATCCTCCCACCTTAGCCTCCTGAGTAGCTGGGACCACAGGTGCATGCCATCAAGCCCAGCTAATTTTGTACTTTTTGTAGAGATGGAGTTTCGCCATGTTGCCCTGGCTGGTCTGGAACTCCTGGACTCAAGTGATCTACCAAACCTGGCCAACAAAATATCTTAAACCTAAAGTTTCTATGAATTTATTTGAAAAGAGAAGGCGGTCGGGCGCGGTGGCTCAAGCCTGTAATCCCAGCACTTTGGGAGGCCGAGATGGGCGGATCACGAGGTCAGGAGATCGAGATCATCCTGGCCTAACACAGTGAAACCCCGTCTCTACTAAAAAGTACAAAAAACGAGCCGGGCGAGGTGGCGGGCGCATGTAGTCCCAGCTACTCAGGAGGCTGAGGCAGGAGAATGGTGTAAACCCGGGAGGCGGAGCTTGCAGTGAGCCAAGATTGCACCACTGCACTCCAGCCTGGGCAACAGAGCGAGACTCCGTCTCAAAAAAAAAAAAAAAAAAAAGAGAAGGCTTGGTTGAGAGGATTGTTTTAGTGAGAGGGACTTAGAAAATACTGCTTTTAAAATAAGTATGGGGAAAAGAGAGAGAGATCAGACTGTTACTGTGTCTATATAGAAAGAAGTAGACATAAGAGACTCCATTTTGTCCTGTATTTGAGATGCTGTTAATCTGTGACCCTACCCCCAACCTTGTCCTTGCAAGAGACACGTGCTGTGGTGACTCAAGGTCTAAGGGATTTTGGGCTGTGCAGGGCGTGCTTTGTTAAACAAGTGCCTGAAGGCAGTATGCTTGTGAAAAGTCATCGCCATTCTCTTAATCTCAAATTCCCAGGGACACATACACTGCCAAAGGTCACACACTGCCAAAGGTCACAGGGACCTCTGCCTAGGAAGGCTAGGTATTGTCCAAGGTTTCTCCCCATGTAATAGTCTGAAATATGGCCTCGTGGGAAGGGAAAGACCTGATCGTCCCCCAGCCTGACACCCGTGAAGGGTCTGTGCTGAGGACTAGTATAAGAGGAAAGAAGGCCTCTTGGCAGTTGAGATAGAGAAAAGCATCTGTCTCCTGCCCGTCCCTGGGCAATGGAACATCTCGGTGTAAAACCTTACTGTATGTTCTGTTTACTGAGAAAGGAGAAAACCGCCTTAGGGCTGAAGGTGGGACGTGCTAGCGGCAGTGCTGCTCTTTATGCACTAAAAAGGTTTATGGAGATGTTTGCATATGCATATCAAGGCATATCCTTAAACTTATTCAATGTCACAGAGATCTTTATTCATATGTCTTACTGCTGACCTCCCTACCATGATCCTATTATCCCGCCACTTCCCTTTTTCTAAGATGGTAAAGATAATGATCAATAAATACTGAGGGAACTCAGAGATCGGTGCTGGCGTGGGTCCTCTATATGCTGAGCACCAGTCCCCTGGGCCCACTTTTTCTTTCCCTATACTTTGTCTCTGTGTCTCATTTCTTTTCTTAAGTCTCTCGTTCCACCTAACAAGAAACGCCCACAGGTGTGGAGGGGCAGGCCACCCCTTCAAATAAGGTTTAAAAAGTTAAGGTTTAAGCATCAGTGTGTTTCAGGTGATGTGTTCAAAAGGAACATCAGGATGTTTTTCCTTGCTGTCACTAAGGAGGCCCTTGGTGCTCAGCTGACATTCTCTAACAAGGGTTCATTTGTCAGGGATGGTTTACAGAGTGAAAGCCTGCTGTTTACTGTTCACAGATAACAAATGCTTTTCTCCCCTGACAGAAAGGAACAAGATGACTTCCTTTTCTACCACCACACTACTGCCCCCCATTAAGGTTCTTGTGGTTTACCCATCTGAAATATGTTTCCATCACACAATTTGTTACTTCACTGAATTTCTTCAAAACCATTGCAGAAGTGAGGTCATCCTTGAAAAGTGGCAGAAAAAGAAAATAGCAGAGATGGGTCCAGTGCAGTGGCTTGCCACTCAAAAGAAGGCAGCAGACAAAGTTGTCTTCCTTCTTTCCAATGACGTCAACAGTGTTTGCGATGGTACCTGTGCCAAGAGTGAGGGCAGTCCCAGTGAGAACTCTCAAGACCTCTTCCCCCTTGCCTTTAACCTTTTCTGCAGTGATCTAAGAAGCCAGACTCATCTGCACAAATATGTGGTGGTCTACTTTAGAGAGACTGATACCAAAGACAATTATAATGCTCTCAGTGTCTGCCCCAAGTACCACCTCATGAAGGATGCCACTGCTTTCTGTGCAGAACTTCTCCACGTCAAGCAGCAGGTGTCAGCAGGAAAAAGATCGCAAGCCTGCCACAATGGCTGCTGCTCCTTGTAGCCCACCCATGAGAAGCAAGAGACCTTAAAGGCTTCCTACCCCACCAATTACAAGGAAAAAACGTGTGATAATCCTGAAGCTTACTATGCAGCCTACAAATAGCCTTAGTAATTAAAACATTTTATGCCAATAAAATTTTCAAATACTGCTAACTGATGTAGCATTAACTAAAGAAACTACATTTACAACTTCAAAGCTAGATTAGTTTTATACATAGAAATCAATTAGTTTTAATTGAAAACTATAACCATTTTGATAATGCAACAATAAAGTATCTTCCAGCCAAACATCTAGTCTTGCATAGTCCATGCATTGCAATGTACACAGAACTGTTTAGCTAATATTCTACATTTAATTAATGAATACCGAATCTAAGAACCCTCACTGGTTCACTCAATAGCATCTTAGGTGAAAAACTTTCTATTACGTGCAAAAAATCATGGTTTTTAAGATAACAAAGTAGGCAATAAACAAGCTGAACCCACCTTTACTGAACCAGATGATCTAGTATATGTGTAACCACTTGTATTTAGTGTTTGCATAAGACTCCCCCTCTACAAACTAGATTCATATCTTGATTCTTGTACAGGTGCCTTTTAACATGAACACCAAAATACATTACCCACAAACTTGTCTACTTTTGCCTAAAGTTACCTATTAGAGGTCACTGTCTTAGTTAAATGAAAATAATTCTTAAGTTGAAAGCCCTCTTGAAGTAACCTTTTTATAAATCAGTTATTATAATGGTTTACTTAAATAAAAAACAGGGCTGGGTGCAATGGCTCATGCCTCCAATGCCAGCACTTTGGCAAGGCCAAGGCAAAAGGATCACTCAAGACCAGACTAGGTCACAAAGCGAGACCTCCATCTCTACAAAAGATTTTAAAAATTAGCTGAGTGTGATGGTGTGAGCCTGTGGTCCCAGCTACTAGGGAGGCTGAGGTGGGAGGATCACTTGAGCCCTGGAGGTCAAGGGTGCAGTAAATGGTGATTGTGCCACTGCACTCCATCCTAGGTGACAGCGAGACCCTGTCTAAAACAAACAAACAAATGAAAAAACCCCACAGAATGACAGAACACAAAAGATGGTGCATTTTGTCTTCCAACTTTTTACTCTTCTAAAAGCATCTTTAATTTTTTTTTTTTTTTTTGAGACGGAGTCTCCCTCTCTCAACCAGGCTGGAGTGCAGTGGCGCTCTCTTGGCTCACCATAAGCTCCACCTCCCGGGTTCATGCCATTCTCTTGCCGAAGCCTCCCGAGTAGCTGGGACTACAGGCGCCCGCCACCACGCCAGCTAATTTTTTGTATTTTTAGTAGAGATGGGGTTTCACTGTCTTAGCCAGGATGGTCTTGATCGCCTGACCTCATGATCCGCCCGCCTGGGCCTCCCAAAGTGCTGGGATTACAGGTGTAAGCCTGGCCTAAAAGCATCTTTTTCTTAATGCAGAGGTTATATTATATTAGCATATATGTTTTTTCTGGGAATGCTTATTTCACACAGCACAATACTGAATCTTCTCTGGAATGTGGATCAATTTCAGATGGATGACTATTAAAATGTGTATATTTGCAGATTACCCTTAAAGGGCCACCTCATGCCTTCTAATTTATGTCTTAAGGATAAAAAATCAAAATGAAGCATAAAATAAAAACTGTGTCCAGCTTTACAAGTGGACACTTAGTAATGGCTGAGGCAATATGTTTAATGTAGCAAATTTCACTTATTTGTCATGATCAGTTTCCACAGTGCTTGTAAGTGCTGGTAGCAGAAGATGGACATGGTTGAGGTCAAACTTGGACCAGAAACCAACTTCCTTTGAATCAGCTCTACCAGTTATAAGAGCAATATGCTGTTAGGTGAAGAACTATTTAACAAGAAATGCATTATGTTTTGTTTTGTTTTTCTGAGACGGAGTCTTGCTCTGTCGCCAAGGCTGGAGTGCAGTGGCGGGATCTCGGCTGCAAGCTCCGCCTCCTGGGTTCACACCATTCTCCTGCCTCAGCCTCCGAGTAGCTGGGACTACAGGCACCCGCCACCACGGCTAATTTATTGCATTTTTAGTAGAGATGGGGTTTCACCATGTTAGCCAGGATGGTCTCGATCTCCTGACCTCGTGATCCACCCGCCTCGGCTGCCCAAAGCGCTGGGATTACAGGCGTGAGCCACCGCGCCCAGCCCAGATACATTATGTTTTTGAAAACAGGCAGCTGATACGAAATTGCATCGAAACACCCCAGAAACATAAATGACATCAATATTCTATAATGTTGTTAACACATTTAAAAAATAAAACATACAATTTTCAAATTGAAGGCACACATCCCAGTTGGTACTGGCAAGTTTAAACTATTTTAATACTGGTAGACTCTTCATTTGTAACCTACTGAGCAGTTACAGAGGGTACTCCCATTGATACAAAATGCTCTAGTACCGGCATTTCTCCACATCCAGAGATTTTTCTGTATTCCATTCTGATTTCCATCTCTTACCTGTTCCCTGCTTTTGTCCTTCCGTCTCACCCCCATCTCCAGCCTTGATAAGCGAGATGGCGGAAGCAGGTGCCTAGGAGGAAGCAGCAGGAAGCAGCATTTTCCCACTCCTCCCAGAGCGCTGGGCTCCCAGACTGTGTTCCTGTCTCTGGACAATGCCTTCTCTTCCTCCTGGGCTCAGAGGGTTTCACTAGAGCCTGGACCACCAGTGGTAATAGCTGTATTATTTAGATTTTGCTTCAGGATGCTCAGAGGTTAATGTCAACTAATCATACTGAACATCATGAACTCCAGAAGCTTTCACTTAATCCTTCAGGTAAAGGAAAATTGGGGCTTGATGACTAAGTTTGTAGTATTAATAACTACATCAGTCACCATTATCAGTATAACACAAGAACTCTAATTATACCCAAATCATTTCTATTTAGCTTTAGGAAGAAAACAAGATTTCCTTTTCAGCATTTGTTCTGTTTTGGCCAAATAAAAACTGTTTTCTTTCTTCCTCCAAGCTCACCCTAGGGCATGTCAGATAACAAAAGCTAGTCTGCCCAGCCTTCCATCTTTACCTTTGGAAATCGAGACTTGAATGGGTCCCATTCTTTTTCTGTAATCCAACAGAAAATGAAAAAAACCAAAACCACCAAAACTTTTTCCCCCTATTTGGGATTCTAAAAGGACATATGAGTCATATCATAAGTGCATTTAACTCAGACAACTTTAGATCCTAATGAAATACTAGACAAGAGAGAGAATGGCATGAGTGGACAGTTCTCCCTCGTCACACACTACCCCTCATGGTTTTATGAGGCTGCCTGCTGATGAGATTCAACGAGCCAACTTAAATGAAGGGCTTCACCACATGAGAAACTTCAATAGCAATGTCTACATCACTGGGGAGTTTATGAGACCCTGAGAGAGGGCAAGAGAGTTTACAACTGAAGAGTAAGTTCCTATTTATTCTCAAATGCCCTGACCAAACTGCTCAAAAGCAGTTTATAATTTCAAACCAGTATCATGTCCTCAACATAAAGTTCAAATTCATTTACTGTCCATGACACTTAAGCATCTAGGCCAATAAATTACAATACATATATTCTGTAAGAGTCTTTTATACCAAGAAGCTTGTTTTTGGTCTTCAGCAGTGACATTTCCTCCCCATTCACCACACAAACGCAGCCCGCTCTCGTAACATGCGGACACCAAAGCGCTGCCACTCTCGCTGATAAATCCACAGTTCCTGTGTTGTATCCAAACAAGCCAACACTGCCCCTCCTTTCCATGCAATCAGTCGGGGGTCCATGTCCTAGAAAAGGGATGAAGACATTTTAGCCTAATCACATAAGATACATACTCAATCATTTACTTGAATATGGGGCCGAGAAAAATCCCTGCTGAGTCAATACCTAGTAAGCCAGGCTTTCAACCTGTATTAAAGACAGTAGTACTTATGAACTACGGGCATCTTTCTCTTTCAATAGCCAAGAAAACTTTTAAATTTTTATAACTAAAGATTCTATTATTTACTACTATTGCACAAATACTGTTTACCCTGTACACAGGAACATATACAAATGACTTATTTATTTCGAAGTTTGAATGGAATAAATAGATCCCCACAATCCCTCCCTCAGGATTAAAAAGAAATAGGAACATTTCCAGAAATTGTTAGTGACATTTAATAAAACACACAAATCTATTTATAAATTCCTGGGTTTATCTTTCAAGATAGTTCAAACCAAAAAGATCCTTAAATATCATCTGGTCCAGGGACCAGAAGTAGATCCTTCATATAAAAAAGAGATTAAAATGGAGCTGTTCTGGCTGGCAGGGCTTGAGAGCAGTCTGTCCTCCCCTTGCCCAACAAAGGTGGAATTCAGTCATGCTAGTTTGGGAAGCGCGGCAGGGGAAAGCAGCAGAAATCCAGTACCTTAGGCCAGAGCACCTTCCACCACATCTATGGCTTGCTGAAATTAACTTTCCCACTTGCCCTAAGCCCTCAAGAACTCCTCAGACACAAGCCCATGCCTCCTGGGATCTGATCTGTCCACGTACAGGCTGGTTTCATTTGTATACAGTCCAACTTGCAGAATAAAACAACCTACCTTAGCCTTGTGATCACATCCACATTTTCAATAATTCGCCTGAACGATGGTGGCATTTTGTTGAGAATTCTGTGCTGCAGAAATTCTTGAGCTTTATGAAACATCAAACCACCTCCCACCACTAGGATGGAGCTGTACATCTTCTTTTTGGTATCATCGGATGCTGAAAAGACAGTGACATCCTCCATGCTTTTCTCTCCACATCCATAATTCTAGGCCAAGCCACCAACACCTCTTGCTTGGGCAAGTGCAATAGCCTTCTCAAAGATTTCCCTCCAGCCCACCCTCCACACTGCAGCCAGGGGAACCCTACAAAACACAAATGTAGGCGTGTTGCCACGCCACTGAATCCTACTTGCAGGATTAGGATCAAAATTTTTAGCAGTCTGAGTGTGGTGGCTCACGCCTGTAATCCCAGAACTATGGGAGGCCAAGGCGGGTGGATCACCAGGTCAGGAGTTCGAAACCAGCCTGGCCAACATAGTGAAACCCCGTCCCTACTAAAAAGACAAAAATTAGCTGGGAATGGTAGTGTGTGCGCCTATAGTCCCAGCTACTTGGGAGGCTGAGGCAGGAGAATCACTTGAACCCAGGAGGCAGAGGTTATGGTGAGCCGAGATCACGCCATTGCACTCCAGCCTGAGCAAGAGTGAGACTCTGTCTGAAAATAAATAAATAAATAAAATATTTAAAGGGACCCACAAGATCCACTATGGGTGGTCCTCACCCGCTTCTCTAGCCTCATCCTCACACTCTGCTTCCCAGCCACATTGATCTTCACAGGCTTCTTCCTCTACCCCATCTGTTACTGCTAACTGACCCTTTCATCATCCTTTACGTCTCTCTCAAGGGCCACCTTCCTCAAGGAAGCTTTCCCTGCCTCCCACCTTCCATACCATCCCCTAGGGAATAAAGATTCTATGTGAAATTCCTCAAATTATTACACAAATGTGAAATTACCACTAGCAGGTGCTACAAAGTTGAGCTAAAGGATACTGACTGCTCAACAGTACCCTGCCAGTGGTAATTCCACATTTGTGTAATAATTTGACTTATTTTGGCTTCTTCCACTAGGGTATAAACCCATCCTACCTCATTAATGTATTCCCAACACCTGGCAATGCAAGTCAAGTAGGCGCTTAACTGTTTTCATTGAATATGTTACACTGCGCAAGTATATCCTAGACTGAACTAATTTATTTAACTGCTATCTTGTTTCACTGTTATCTCCCGGTCTCCCCAGATGTGCTTACAACAGCAGTCTATGCTATGAAGGATGGCTTTATCCAGGCCCAGGGCTTTCCCTTCAAACAGCGAGATGGCAGTCTTCCTGGACATCAGTGCAGTGAGGGCCTCCTCGGAATCGTTGCCAGCCATCAGGCCATCTCCCTGTGAGGACCCCAAATCTACTTCTTGGGAATGGAGTCTTTCTGGAAGATCAGAGGACTGGCCACGAAGATCTCCTTCAAATCCAATAGGTTTGGATGCAGACTTTCGGTCAGCAGTAGCTTTTGCAGACTTTAAATCAAAAGGACAATCAAGTAGGTGGTATTACTACAACAGAACACTGTTGATGTTGTCTAGCTAGATCCCTCCCTACCCTACTACTATGCACTAGTATAAAACAAAAGTCACGCAGCAATACAACAACTGCCCAGCACCCATTCCCAGGTAACAGGAATGAGAGACGGTGCACAGATAAAGATGCTCTGACCATTCCAAAGCAGGGTAGCTGCCAGTAGGCAGGTTGGCTCTCAGAACTGTATCATCACTGGTTAGATTTAAAAACTGAAAAACCAGTGCAGACAGACTTTATTCCCCGCGCCCTGAGTTTTTAAATGGAGTATTCCAGTGTGGATTCATGGGCCATGACTGTTAAGGAATTCTTACTTTCAGATCCTATCAGTCCACCTCATGTTTGCCTCTGGGGAGGAACAAAGACTAGAAAATCTAGTCTCCATCATGAGCTGGTGCTGTTTCATTAGCAGACAAGACCTTTAATTTGTGCGCCTGTACCAGACATCGTATTACGGGGATCCGCTTTCAACAAAGGAATTCAGCTCTTTGGCTATACCATGCATCTTTCACAAAATTAAGTAACAGGTGAGATTTTAATGAAAATACTGCTGAAAAAATATTCAGAAGTAGATAATGTAAGTAAATGATACACACCAAAAGGAAAGTGTCATTAACTTTTAAATGTATGGACTAGCATTCAGAAAATTAATGTTTGCTGAATAGAGAAATCTGTCTTCCAGATTTTAAACTCAGACTTCAGTTGATCTACAATTCTAAAAGCTATATCAGTGTTATGCTGGAAGTTAGAACTGATTACAATGGCCTATTAACGCTGGACAAATTTCTCCTTCAGGGACAAAACTCTCTCTTCTCCTACCAGAATTGCTACGGACCTGTTCTTGTTTGCTCTGTGTGGCCAGCAGGTAATGTTCATCGTGAGGATCCTCAGGATCGCCCTGAGATCTGTGCTGCAAAGTCGTCATTTTCTGTCCAACAATTCCAAAAGTTGCGGGGTAGAATAAAGCCATTGGAGCCTGTGCATGGAAGGAAAAGAGTGATCAACAAAAGATACTGCCTCCTGAAAAAAACTGATCCACTAAACACTGTTCTTCTAAAAACAAAACTGGCAGATCAGATTCTCTAAGTTAGACTAGGCAATCTTCTCTTTTGGGAGTGGCATTATTTCTCTGGTGTACCACAGGCCAGAAAACTCACTCATCATCCAACTAGATGGGTGATATGACACCATATGAGAGAAATCTCAAAACAAATATAAAGTACTTCATAATCTACTTCATAATTTCCTAAAAAGAATGCTACCTTTCTCTCTAATTAACAACTCCTCATACAGGGGCTAACTAGAAAGATGTTTTTCTATACCAGTGGCTTAAATGTTGGTTTAGTGGATAATCTACAATCAGTTGACATTCTGATCTCACAATGTTTCCAGCAAGTGCATATTCTCTCAGTGTGACTGAACCTGGATAACTTTCATTCTACCCATGGAAACAGACACCTATAAGTTACCTGGAGTTTTTCATCTCCTAATCGAAACTGGTAAAGCAGGGCAGGAGAATCAGGATGTCGAATCTGAAACTCATGGTCCTGAAGCCCAGAGATGTCCTGATTCCAGGAAAAGATGCTGTCAGTGAATCAGTAAGAATGCATGTAAACTCTTCAAATTATGCTTCAGCCTCACCATCATCTAAATATCACCTATAAAAAGGACAACCTACAGCTTTGTACCACTCTCACTATAACTTAAAATAGGAATTCAGCTATACTTTGTTCCTCTATCTAAAATTTCTGGAATTTCTACTGTTTGCATTATTTGTTTTCTCCATTATCAATATACATTAGTACAAACAATGACCCAAATCAATAAGCAAATTCCCTCAGTAACTGGGAAATTTACAGTATTTTTATGTTTCCCTAATTTTTTAAAATTTATTACCTGAAAAAAGTAAAAACAAGTCTCAAACAAAAAAAGGATACCAATCCATATATAGCAATGATTAAACATTATTTGCAATATTAAGAAAGTGCTTCAAATTATAACATTTAACAAAATGTCTGTACTTACATATTTACCTACTATCCTCCTTACACCTAAAGGTTTATCTTCACCTTTTATCGAGACAGAGAAATTTGCTAAACTCTGTTTCCTAAAAAAATCAAACTGTTTTCCAGAGCCTGAGACACACCCTCACTGCTTAGACCTTAGCAAAAAAACCCAAAAAACTTTCACTCCTTAAGGGCTTTCTCCTCAAGGCTTTATCTTGGGTTGAAAAAGGCAGTATAATGCTGATACTTTATTTTTTTATTTATTTTTTTTGAGACGGAGTCTCACTTTGTCGCCCAGGCTGGAGTGCAGTGGCGCAATCTCAGCTTACTGTAAGCTCCGCCTCCCGGGTTCACGCCCTTCTCCTGCCTCAGTCTCCTGAGTAGCTGGGACTACAGGCGCCCGCCACCGCGCCTGGCTAATTTTTTGTATTTTTAGTACAGACAGGGTTTCACCGTGTTAGCCAGGATGGTTTCAATCTCCTGACCTCGTGATCCGCCCACCTTGGCCTCCCAAAGTGCTGGGATTACAGGTGTGAGCCACCGCGCCCAGCCAATGCTGTTACATTTTTAAGTATCTTTTAAATCTCTTAACTTTGTCCTAGAAACAAAAATAATCAGCAATATTGATTCTGCTCCCACCTGATCTAAATGACAAAAAGTTTCTTTAAGGTGTTGCAGAAGAAGACAATCCATTTTATTTGTTAACTGGCATTCTCTGTAAGGGAACCCAGCTCGCTGCATTAGCCAGTAAAAACATCTTGACACATCAGATCCTCCATATGCCAGACAAAGCCTAAAGTTAAGAGAAAAGGGTAGATGATTAATCTGTTGGTTAAGAAGGTGCAAAAGGTGTTTGAAGAAATCCATTAAAGGCTGGGCATGGTGGTTCCTGCCTGTAATCCCAGCACTTTGGGAGGCCAAGATGGGCAGATCATTTGAGGCGAGGAGTTCAAGACCAGCTGGCCAATATGGCGAAACCCTATCTCTACTAAAAATACAAAAATTAGCCAGGCATGGTGATGCACACCTGTAATCCCAGCTACGTGGGAGGCTGAGGCACAAGACTTGCTTGAACACGGGAGGCGGAGGTTGCAGTGAGCCAAGAGATCACGCCACTGCACTCCAGCCTGGATGACAGAGTGAGATTCTATCTAAAAAAAAACACAAAAAAACAAACAAAAATGTCCATTAAACACAGTGATATATAGCAAGTTTCAAGAAATGTATGTTGAATGGACAGAATGAATGGATGGAAGGGAGAAAAGGAACTTTAGCAAAAACCAGTGGGGGGCACCTAAAGTAGTCATGATGTTTGAAAATGTATCTGAGAAACCCAATACTCACTATTAAATCCAGCTCACTTCCCAGTCAATATGTGTTTATCATATGACAGTTGTTTGGAGGTCTACACTCACTGCATATAAGGCAACAATGACAATACAAGACAAACTTATGAGAGAACAGTTTAGAGAAAGCTGTCTACTAAGAAGGTTTCTACAATTTGGGAAGACAGCTGCTATATTATTTTATTGGTAGGAAACGTGGGTCCAGCATTTTCTCCACACTTTGAGACCCAGTGGCACTGGATATTCTAACAACAGATGAGCCAAAATAAAATGGATTTTAGAAGGTACTAGAACTTGGGGTGGGAGGCAGCAGATGATCCTTTCTCATGGACAATTTAAGCCCTCTTTTAAAGACTCAAACTGCCTAATGTGGAGGACGGGAAGAATGAAAGCATCCTGAGGGGCAGCAAGAAGCCATCTCTGGAGCACAAAATGCTTCAGAGAGCCCACACCTGCATTACCTGAGTGTGCTCACATATGTCAGGCTTGCCTAAAGAAGGACAAGCTGCAAATCTGGTCCTGATAGTAATTTTCTTTACCTGTCTATCATCATAAAGTTACTCACCCACAGAACACCACTATGACAAAAAAATGCAGATATTCAAAACACTAGCCAGATAGTTCAGATTGAAAAAGCCGATTTTCTCCTACATGACTTGCCGAAATAAAGCTCTGCTATAAGGGTGTGATTAGTAGCTCTGTGCCAAACCACAGCTAAAGACATGAAGCTACCGTTTACATTTCCTCTATGGGAAAGCACATAAAACATACCAGGACTTTCAGGGGCTGCTGATGTAAATCCGTATTAAGAAGTTCCAATGGGAAGGGTAAAATGATTCGTTTTCGCCTTGCTGGAATTTGCACTTCCATAATCTTGCTGGTTTCCTATGCAGACTTTTGAATATATGGTTATCTTATAATTTTTAACCTGTGATTTTTTATTATTTACAGTTGAACAGATTATGAGGGAAGAGGGAACAGGGAATGCCACCTTCCAAGTTCCTCACCGAGTATTCCGATGAGACACCCCATCCTCCACACAGCATACGCTTGTCTTCTGGTCCCCAACGTCTACAATACACGTGCTGCTTAAGCCACTGCCATAGGTGGCACACACAGACTCCTGATGGACCACGATCCCTGGGGGGAAAAAAAAAAAGGCAGAGTAGTGATCAGCTGTAGAGCAGCAAAGATCCCAAAACAGATAATCAACTGAAGTGGGGAGCCTAGGGACTTCTGGGCAGGGTATCTGAGGAACACTGATCCTTTCAGAATAAGCATTTAAATAAGTCGGGCACAGTGGCTCACGCCTGCCATCCTAACACTTTGGGAGGCTGAAGCGGGCGGATCACGAGGTCAGGAGATCGAGACCATCCTGGCTAACACAGTGAAACCCCATCTCTACCAAAAAATACAAAAAATTAGCCGGGTGTGGTGGCGGGCGCCTGTAGTCCCAGCTAATCAGGAGGCTGAGGCAGGAGAATGGCGTGAATCCGGGAGGCAGAGCTTGCAGTAAGCCAAGATAGCGCCACTGCACTACAGCCTGGGTGACAGAGTGAGACTCCATCTCAAAATAAATAAATAAATAAATAAATCCATAAATTAGATTAACTCTGTCATTAAAGAAAGAAAATTCCATTTAAAATAGGTTTCACTGGGATATCAGACATACCTGAAAAGCCCATCTTCATTAGTATCATATTCACTAGTTCCTTCACATGCTGTTTATTATAGATATCAGGAATTAACAAGATACATCTATAATACTAAAAAGAAGAACAAAGATAAAAGGGTTAACACTCGAGTCTCGTCAGGTCAAATTCACCACTTCTTTTTAGAGAGACTTCCCTTCAAAGGAGTAGCAGCTACGGTTACACACCCAGAATAAAAGCTCAAACCTCTGTATTATCCTATGGGTTTTATAAAGAAATTAAAAATGCTCAAGTGTTTTTTTTCCTTGAAATTATTAAAAACTTGTAAAATGAAAAATAAGACAACTGATGTGTAAGGTCCAAAGAGAAGACAAAAATAAGCAAGCTTGCTGATTTGAGTAATAGAGACACCAAAGAAACAGAGAAAGAATAAAAGCACTAGAAGGGAATTAACTGAAAAAGAAAAGACATCCTCAAGCCACTAAGATCCTCACCCTGAAGGCCAAGAATGCATCAAGAAGGACACTATATTACAAACAACTCGGTAATGTGTACTTTCATTGACCAAGAATCTTAAAAACAATCCAAATTAACTGAGAATTTTAACTTACCTTTAAATCTTTCAGTGGGATTTCCAAGTATTTTTGTATCGCATGAGACCATATTACTTCAATATCTGCCAGAACAGCTGTAAGAGAGCCCCCAGGGCCTGGATGAATATTTAACTGACCTCTTCTGATAGGCCAGTGAATATTGTAACAGTCCAGTGGATTAACATACAAGGCCTAGAAAAGAAGGAGGGAGATGAGTACTTTGTTAAAACTTTCCTCTCAAGGTTTCTGGATTCATATCCAAAAATCTAACTAACGTTTGCTGAATGTGAGAAATGTTGAGAGTGATATAGGAGTCGGTGGGACTATCTGGTACTCAAAGTAGGGTTATAGAGTGCTAGGAAATGACTAGGACTCAGTGGCAACGTAAGTGAATTTTAGGAGGAGGATCAGGTTCCCCTTCTTCCATTCTTAGTGTAAAGAAGTTTCTTACCTCCTCTCCTACTAAATACTCAGGGTGATGAGATGTGTTTGTCCACTTATTTCCCGAACAGTGATCTAAAATTGCAGGTCGCATCTGCTTATTGTAAGAGCGTGCCTGAAAAGAAAAACCATCAGAAAATTATCTCAATTTATTCAAGGCAGGGGCAACATAAGGGTCTCCTTTTCTTTTCTCTCCCACACTAGATACATTGGCAAATTTTAATCACAAATATTTGGCAAAATACATCAACTTGCCTACCCCCACCTCATAGATTATGTGGCTTGCCTAAGCATTTGTAACACTGACTCGGGTATTCTGTAAGTAGTTACGGGGGGTTTTCTTCCTTTATAAGGAACTCCCATCTTGTATTTGCATAGTGATACAGGAAGAACATGTGAATGGTATTATGATACAAATAGTGGTGATAAAAGAATAAATCTGAAGAGTTGATCGAACCTGTTCAGGGGACACAGGAATGCGTCTTGTACCATTGGACATCTTTTTAGACCATATTGCTTGATCCGCCATTTTAAGGCCATTTTGTCTTTGTTCATTACTTTCTGGTTTCTGGGGGGGGGGAAATGAAAGATGAGCAGTACAAAGGATTTAATGAGAAGAGAAAGCAATTCAAAAACTACTAATTTAATCCAATCTTTGGAAATGCTCCTTTATCAACAAGTAGCATTTCCTTAATCTTTATCACATGTACTACTCTTAAGAATTCCCTCCAGCCTGGGCAACATGGCAAAACACCATCTCTACAAAAAATACAAGAAATTAGCTGGGTGTGGTGGCACAGGCCTGTGGTCCCAGCTACTTGGGAGACTAAGGCGAGAGGACTGCTTGAGCCCAGGAGGTGGAGGGTGCAATGAGCCGAGGTCACACCACTGCACTCCAGCCTGAAGAACAGAGCAAGACCCTGTCTCAAGACAAGAAAAAAAGAATTCCCAGGAATCTTTTATAAGTCAAAAGCAGCCGTCGCTATAAAACAACTATATGCTAAATTTTCAAGTGATTTTTCATAAAATTTCTCACAGCACTAATCAAAGCATACCTACTTCATGTTTACAAAGTATTTCAGAAACTCTTCCATACAATTATATGATTCTTATGTTTATAATTTTGACAATGTCACATTCCTTCATATGTTGATCAGCAAGTGTTCTCATTATAGTATAAAGAAAATGTCCATAAATATCTTTACAGAAATGTTTTTTTGATTTTTATTTCTTAAACGTATTTCCTAAAGTAGAATTACAAGATCCAAAGATAAATAATGAAGTATAGACTCTTATATCAGCAAGTTATATTTAAACTTACAACTGACTTACATAGGGTCTGCTAGTTACACTAAAAAATGGAACCCTAAGGCCTACTATCAGAATTAAAGAAACTTTACATTCCCAAAACTATCCTTGACTTAAAACTTCAAAGTAAAATGTGGATTATGATGTAACATATAGATTTATCACTGATCACAAAGAATTTTCCTGATAATCACCATCTGTAACATAAGATAAAGTTGATTCTTACTGCAAGAAAAATTTTTTTTTGCCTTGAAATTATGGGTAATCTAAGACCATAAGTGCTTATTGTAACAATCTAATTTGCTAATGGATTGAAATAGTATCTCTTTCAGATACTTAATATGGCTTAACCACTAAGTTTAAGCCTGTTAACAAGGACCTGAATGTATCACTTTAAGTGAGTGATGATTCTGTGTCTTCCGTTATAGAACACCTTCATCAACACTCAATTCACCCTGAAAGACTTACTTTTGTTGTAACTAATTCTTTTTTTTTTTTTTGAGACGGAGTCTCGCTCTGTCGCCCAGGCTGGAGTGCAGTGGCGCGATCTCGGCTCACTGCAAGCTCCGCCTCCCGGGTTCCCGCCATTCTCCTGCCTCAGCCTCCCGAGTAGCTGGGACTACAGGCGTCGCCACCACGCCCGGCTAATTTTTTTGTATGTTTTAGTGGAGACGGGGTTTCATTGTGTTAGCCAGGATGGTCTCGATCTCCTGACCTCGTGATCCGCCCGTCTCGGCCTCCCAAAGTGCTGGGATTAAGTCACTAGCTCTGATGAAAAATGAGTGACATTATTATTTTAAAACACAGCAAAGCTATGAAGACATTTCTTTAAGATTCTGATGTACTTAAGTGTCTACGCCCTCCCAGGGAAACAGCCTTAGGCTTTCTCTCCAGGTCATTTTTGACTTACATTTAGTCCCTCCCTTAGAAGCCAACTGTCCTTGTATAGGGGTTGCCCTTGTTGTTTGTGTCTTCGCGCAATGACATGAGGAATGCTGGCAGGAAGAGTGTCTGTGGCTCGGACCAATCCTTAAAGTTGTTGAACCTGGATGTATGACAATGATGAAGTTGCTCTGGATTTGCTGCAGATATAAAACATAGATGTGTGACCTTCGTAAATAATATGCCGGTAACAAAGTTAAACAACATACACATAACAAGCTAAACTAAGAAGCTGACTCAAAGGTATCAAAATAATTCAGTAAACAGAGTTCTTTGAGAAGTATCCAATTACTGCTCTCTACCTAAACACAAACTTACTATGTTCCCTTGACGTGAGTCATAGTACATAGCTTGACAAATATTTGTTTAAATGAATGAAACAAAAATTATCCACGACAAATTAACATACAGTTCCTGAGCATTTATGTGACTGAAGAAACATTGCTATAGAATCGGGCCCAGGCTTCTGAATTCACAGATCTGTCTGCAAATTCAGACTGCCACTGTTCCTTGCTCTGAATGAAGTTCCACAGTTCACCAGTTACTGTAGAGGATTAAATGAGTTATACGTGGTAACTCAGAGCTGGGCCACCGGAAGCATTCGAGGAATGTTGACTTTTTAACTATAGTAAAGCCTTTCAACGTGATCCACTGCCTTCACAAAGAAGTCAGACTCTGTGGCTTACATGGACCCTCATGATATGGCCCCCGCTATGATCTCCCAGTCCCCTTCCTTAACTCCAGACACCCTAATCTACCGCTGGGGCCTCCAACACTCAACATCCTCTGTTGGCACAAGTCTCTTCCACACTGTTCTTCTTTCCTGAGATTCCCTCCTCCCTCTGGTTAGCTCCTAATCACCTTCAGGACTCTAAACAGATGTCACCTCACCTCCTTTGAAGAAACCCTCCCTGACTGTCGGGGATGGAGGAGGTACTTGCTTGAGTGCCCAATACTGCCCTCTGCACAAGCCCATTCCATGCCATGCTCTGATACCTGCTGTCCTATCTCCAAGTGTGAGCTCTCCCCTCCTAATCACCCCCACCCAGAGTAGGAGAATCCTAGAGGGAAGCATCTGGCAAGGCCCTTACAGACCATCCAGTCAGCCTTCTCAACTAGCTGGATGGAGAAACCAGGCCTGTCCAACAGTAATGGCCACTCTGGGCTTGCCGTGTGCCAGGCACTGTCATAGTAGTGATAGCTAACTAGTAGCTGCCCTATGTGAGCACTTATGTGAATTGTACACTGCCTGTGCCCGTTTTCCTACGTGAATGCTGTTTTAGTTACTGATCAGTAAGGTTTTGTGTGCGTGCATACGTCTGAGGTCCTTTGCCAGGCATGCTACTGCAAATAATTTTTTCTGGTTAGTTTGGTCTAATCGTGTTGTTTTTGATACACAAGCTCTTAATATATATTTAGACAAATGTCCACCATTTCCTTGCTTGAAATGACTTCCATTATCTGAGATTTCTTAACAAAGGAAAAAGCCTGGACGCCGAACTATCTCTTAACAAGTACAGGCTGACGCTCCCAGTGAGTCAGCCTGGTGCTAAACTCTATCTGCCACCATTGAACCCTCACGGCAACCTGCGAGGCGGCTGGTATCACCGTGGTCGTTTTATGGTCGGGAAGCTGAGGCCACAGCCCGGGCCGCAGGGCACACAGCCAGCCGGTAGGGCGTGCGGGGGGACGCAGCAGTGTCCCTGCGGGGGCTCCGCCTGGCTCCTGGCGCTCCGCGCCTCCTAGCCCTCCACGTCCCGGCGCGCCACGACCCGGAAAGGAACGACCACTTCCGCACTCCCCACCAGGGGTTGGGCCTGCAGGGAGAACTCGAAGCCTCCAGCCGCCTCCCGCCCCCTGCCCGGCAGCGGAGGACCCAAGCAAGGGTAAAGAGTTCTAACCCAGACCGGACCCGAGCCGCACCTCCTGCAGCGACTCCGGCACCAGCGCGGGCACGATGGGCCGCTTCACGCCCCGCTGCTCCTTCTCCTTTCTCTCCGCCTTCTCCTTCCCGTTCTCCGCGTCACCCTTCTCAGCCTGGGTCATCGTGGCCGCACACACCCACCAACCTCTCGCTTCAGCTCCGCAGCCACGACTGCCGGGACAGAAGGGCCATCGCGCAGGCGCACGGCCGGGTGCCCACAGTCAAGATGGCCGCCGCGGAGTCGTCCCAGAGGGCTCCGGAAGGCGAGGGCGGGGCTGCCCGGCGCTGGGGCTGGGGCGGGGTGTCCTTGTGGATTGACTGGGTGGGGTGTTTCTGTGATTAGTCCTGACTCTGTAG